TACTATACAGAATAGTTACATATTTCTACTAGCTACTTATCACAGAGATGCTTGTACTGCTCTCGAAGGACATTCTTTTGTATCTTTGCCATAGTGTTCCTTGGGAGTTCTGGTAGAAAAACGACTCGTTTTGGCACCTTAAATGTGTGTATCAATCATCGAAAGCAATTTACTCTGCGAAAAATCATCAGAGACAAAATAGCTAGGAATGGTTCACCTTGTACTTAACAAGTACTTCCTTCAAAGATGCAATGATTTTGGACTCTACAGCTTCCTCATCCAAAAATTTCTCTGAGCTCATAGCCACTACTGCAACTGGTGCTTCGCCGAGATCTTTATGTGGAACACCTAGAAAACCATAAGGAATAACAAACATTGCGATAAAAAATATACATGCATACATAGGCCGTGAAAATTGATACGAACTGCCACAATTTGCGCAGTCTTAGCCAGGTTTCTGTTTTTTATAGTCAAGACGGGTGTCATAGAAAGTATGTAGCGGAATGATTGGGAGCAAATACGGCGAAGATGGTTCAAATATTTCCTCACCAATGACTGCGGATTCCTTGACATCTGGTAGTCTATCGATGCAATCTTCCACTTCTTTTGGATACACATTGTATCCTCCAGAGATTACGAGGTCCTTACACCGACCAAGTATCCGCAAGAAACCTGTTGGAATCAATTAAATAGAAAAAAATCTTTGTGGAAAAGTGTTGTATTTTCATCTAAACTCCATTTATATTTCATGAAATATAAAACAGTACAGCAAAATAGTGACGGGTTTTGTTCCTAGCATGATTCAGAAATTTTCAAAAACCTGTATACGTAAGCGAAACAAAAAACTTTGCGCGAAATTACGCTTGAGTTAGTGAAATATTTGAGCAGAGGATTAAATATAGATAGGATGGCATCGATTAGAGTTTTTTTGGCATGCTGACTATGACTACAATATTCGATTTAGTTTACGTAGTTAACGCACGCATTAACATTCATTTAAAGTCGGAAGAGAGCTGTCAATGAACAAAAGTATGTAAGTACTGATTAAATACCAAAATAAGCGTTGAGAACATGAAGCAAATCTTGGGCATGTAGAAAGAGAGGCAAGAAGGAAATGGAAGTGCGAGCTGTAATTGAAAGACCGTGTCAAAAAAAGAATATTAGATTGAAAAAGATTTGAACGGTTTTGAAGTTCATAACAATATCTTGGCCGTCTAGGTACTCGAAAGT